AGAGTGTCAGTGTGCATCCATATCTTTTGCTGAAGTGACCTTGAGCAGTGAGCTGAACCCCGGCTGCTCCTGAGGCGTCACTCCCGCTGAACCTGTCCTCCGACCCTCACAGTGCACCAACGTGCCTAAGAGAAATATGCAAAGAATCTAATTACACTGTGTACAGTGTGCCCTAAATTCCTGCGTCAAACTGTTCTGCCTCATTCACCTTAAAACACATCATGCCTCCAACCGCTCTGCACACCAACCCCAAGCCGAGTTGCTCGGGTTTATCAGGGTGACACATCTGCTGCGTACATTGTTTTCATTTTTAGCACTTTGTGGCTTCCCATATTTAAACCGGGAGGCTGTGATGTTAGGCCTACAGTGTGGAAAATCCACGTCTGCATTCACACTTATACTTGAGCACCCAGTGCTGCTTTTACCTAAAATATTGCACAGAATTTCATAGCTTTGATTTTCTCCCACCAATTACGTTCATTTTCTCACAGCTGTTGCACTTTAATAGCAATAACATGAGAATTTGCCATAGATAATGACACCTCTGCTGCACGCATGTGGACACAAAGGTGGGCATTCTTATGAGCCAAATTACCCCAACTTTCAGGTCATTAGCTGATTTGATTTAAAGCTGTTTGTGGCTCCTCCTTCAGTATGAGTAGTGCTGAGCTGATATGCAGCCTAAATAGCTTAGCCTTATTTCATACTTCATTTCTAGATATAATACAACCATTTACAGGCTGGCTGCTGTTTCCCCTCAAACCCGGTCACATGTGTTTTATAAAACACATTGATTTAAAGTTACTGTAGATGCATATGCTTCTATTTAATCATTAAGATCTAACAGCAGCAGTGTGACTCAGATTATACATAAAAGCTCTTTTCAGAAGATTTTTTTGCGATTGATCTGCAGAGCGTGTGCTTTGCAGACCAAATGCTGCTTATGAACTGATGAATCCAGTTATTAATCCTGTCATTTCTTTCTCTTTGTTAATCAGCATTTCCCTGGCTTGGCCTCTGACTGGTGATGCGACCTATCATTAAGCCAAACCAGAAATACTGGTCTGAGATAATCCATACAAGCTTAGGTAGCGTTGCAATGTGTCCATTATGTCTGTATTTGTATAGTTATCCCTCACATTTACACAAAGTCATGCTATAAGGAGTGCAAACGTGGCTGTGTCACTAAACTCAGTGGAAATAATGTCATATCTCAGCCAATAAGGACACAAAATGAGTGCTGTGAATGTTAAACTGTTGGATTTTGGGTGTTGACCATAGGCTTCAAGTGCCAAGTAAATGTGGTACTGATACAGAGGTAACGCATGAGCTACATCATATCAGTTTCTCTTTTATTCAAAATTCTGGCAGAAATATTTGTTCCATGATTAGCAACTAATCATTAATAATAAAGTGCATTCCATAAAAAGTTCACTTTTACCTTTTATTGGATGGCAAGAGAGGGACTAAAGTGTTTTAAAAGTGGCATAAATTACTATAGTTATCTGACAACACACACATCTCGCCAAAACAGTATAAGCATTTGGACTAAATTAAACTATTGATTAAAGGAAGACTAGGGAGTTTTGGCTTTGTTTTAGCACCCCCCAGTGACCGTTTAATAGAACGGAAAGCAAAATTTATCTCCTTGCTGTGCGTTCGTCAATTTAACACTTTAATCTAACTGCTGAAATGTCCCCCCAGCCTTCATCAGTGTCTACAGGAGTGGTTCATCACTAAATTAAACAAATCAGCTGTGTTTATGATCTAAAATAGGCAGGAAACGTGCTGGAAGCAGACAGCAGCGCCAGGTGTGTACGTTTAATTTTTTTCTAAGATCAACCGACCAGATCGGCACTCTGAAGTTGCAAATGTGGTATTCTGGAAGAGGGTTGGGGGGGGGTTCTGAGGGACATTTCATTAACCCTGTGAAGGGTTATTGTAGCACACATTAGCTCCAGAAAATTATTTAAAAATATGAAAGAGTTACAAAGTATCCCCTTAAGAAGGTACTTGTGAATTTCTGTGGCCTGAGCTGAACCAAGATGAGCGTAGATAAACAGTGTGTGGAAATACACATTTCATGGCAAGGGGGTACTTAACTTTGGGTTTATTGTTCACTCAGAAACACACTTTCCATGTTAATTCATCAGTATTTACATATCCATACATGTGTTTGTCTTGGGTCATCATTTTATCAGCTTCAGTTATAATCGGTGTATTTGGACGTGACTTTCACATTCCTGGAGTCAGATTTGCTACAACTATTTCTTGAATTCATTGCTGCCAGTTGGGGTGGCAGCAGGGCTAGAAAGGCTTCATTTTAGGGTGGCATTTGCCCCCATGCTACTCCAGTAGATCCACCCCTGCCCCAATGCAAAAGTGTAAGTAAAAGCTGTCAATCTGCTTTTAAAAGATTATGGCGCTGCTAGAGACAGCTGTGTATGTTTGCTGACTATAACTTGTTTTTTTTTTTCTTGTTTTTTTTACTGCACACGATGGTAAAATTAGGGAGGAGAAAAAGGAATAGCATCAATTGTTCATGACAAGGACAGCAGCAGGAGCATGTTGGTGCCTGGAGATTTAAAAAGCCTCATCAGCTCTTGTACATTTGGGTAAAGTTTAAATATAGAGAAATCAACACACATTCTTGGTGCCACTGCCATTTTACAGCTACCCAGTCGTGGCTACAGGGGAGGAAATAAAACAGCCTCTCTGTCCTTTAGCCTCCCCTCTTTTCTCTGCTTCTGTCCCTTTTTTTCCTCCTGCTCATTGACTCTGCCTGTGAGGTGCTTTTAGCGGGCCTTGTGTGGCCGGGTTACAGACGGATGTGAGGCCCTTGGGAGCCGCAGGCAGAGAGCAACACTGATCATGTCAGACAGGCTGGGGAGGCTGCATAAGATCATCATCACCCAGCAGTGGAGTGAATCGCCGCAGTGGCACTTTCACACAACCTCTGACCTCCGGGGTAACCTCTCAGGTCACGATCAAGGTCAGGGGTCAGCCAGGGTCTCAGTGATCAGCTCTATTACCAAAACCCCTCCTGCATCTTCTTCTGATTTCACCTCTCATCGTTTTTCCCTTTTTTCTCCTTCCCTTCATCTTCTGTCTGTTTTCTCATTGCTCACGCTCTCCCTTCGTCAGCCGGGACCTATCGAGACATCCGCTCCCCTGGGAGTACAAAACAGAAAGCAAGAGAAAATCAATAAGGAAGATGAGTGACGACCTGGAGGTCCCATCAAAAACTGAATACTTTTTTCTGTGCTGCTATTCACATACACACACACACACACACACACACACACACACACACGTTGGTACCTCTGAAAATAGAACCATAACACACACACACACACACGTTGGTATTACCTCTGAAAATAGAACCATATCAGAAGAGAAAAGTGCAGGTAAGCTCTGTAAAATGCACGCTAAACTAACCTTAATGACAACCCCACCAAGAGGAAACAGTCACCCGTATAAATCCGATATTTTTTTAGGAAACAGTGAAAACACACATCTGTTAATAAAATAAAGTCTCACAGTTGCTATGCATCCTCTCAACACAACATAACCTCAGGCAAGACATTAAATGTTCATCCATAAATAGAACTGTTCAGATGAAAGGGAGGATAAATAATGCAAAAAGAATACAAAACCTCTTATGGGATAACTAGTCACACATGCACGCACGCACACGCACGCACACGCACACACACACACACACACACATACACACACACTCAAGCTACACGGTGAAGAAAAGTGAATGGATAGAACAGGAAGGAGGAGAATCCACTGGAGACACACATGCTTCTTACTTTATCTCCCCCTGCTCCTCCTCATCTGCTCTCGTTTTTTTCTGCTCACAGTCAGATTTCATGACATGCTCTGTGTCTGTGGGGAGGAATAATGTTGTCCCAGCCACGGCATGTTCTTCCTGTCCACCAGAGCCCAGACAGAACACACACACACACACACACACACACACACACACACAGAGCCCTGCCGCCTCATAATTTTTTCATGAGTTGTGATCAGAACACTCAAATATTTACACCTGAACAGTTGATCCTTTTCTTTACAGCATGGCATCACTCTTCCAAGGAGACTGTATGTCTTCAATGTTTGTTCAGGTTAGATCATCACATTAAATCTGTGACTCATGTATTAACATTTCTGGTTAGAGGGTGTTGCACTGCTGGGTCATATCTAATAAATAAAACATTGAAGACGAACCTTTTCAAAGCCTCGCTGCTGGTTTTCTAATTTCCACCTGAGATGTTTATTCATTTTTTAAATTAAACATGCATGTTTGGAGAAAAACCTGAATTTCTCCACGCTGAGCAGGACAGATTGTGGTTGTGTAGGGAGACACCTAGTGGTGGGATTTATACACATTAAAGTTTGGTTTAAAGATGATTACAAGCCTATCAAACACTCGTCATGGGTCAGTGCAGCTGATTCTTATTAACCAATCTTTTCCTTTATCTGGTTAAAAGGTTTCAACCTACAGAAATAAGCAAATACACATCTGTTTATTGCAGTAATAGGACATCCTGATTCAGTGTGTTTACCCATCCAAAAAGCACCCAGAAGGCCCTTCAGCAGTCAACAGGTCTCACAAAAACCCCATTCAGCTGTAACTGGAACCCTGACCAACTTTGCCACGTCAAGATGTTTGAGCACGCAGCTCTGGGGCAAATGTTTTCACTTTATTTGGACATTAAATTACCCTCAAAGCAGGACAGGTTGAGTTAAAACGCAGCAAGAAGATTATGGCGGTATCCAACTGTTTAAAGGTTTTATTCTGCCCTGGCCTTATCTCTAATCCTTATCAGAACGTCAGTTACACGGTTTTAAATCAGGTCTGACAGGGTGTGTCTGTAAAACCTCCAAAGAAGGCCAGTTGAGTGTTCTATTGTTTTCTCGGACACCTGTTTTACTTCTGTGGATGACAACAAGGAGGTGAAGCTTTCAGAAGGGGTGGATTTTTGGTGGGGACTGGGGGGACCTCGATGGGGGCCTGGGCTGAGTGGGGACCAGCGGGCCTCAGGTGGACAGATTCGTCCCTGTGGAGGACATGCCTGGTTCCTGTTTTAAGGCGCTGCCGCATTTCTACCTGCGCTGTTGCCGTCGGGATTTCGTTCTTTCTGGTGATGTGCCTTTTCTACCTCGCGGAGGAGCCGAAACAGGAGGCGCACGAACAGGCTCTCCCCGAGGAGGAGATCCCAGTGACGCTCCTCATATGGACCTATCCGTTCGATGAGTACCGACAGCTTCCGGACTGCTTGGAGTATCAGGTCAGGGGGTGCACGCTCACAGACAACAGGAGCGCGTACCCTCTGGCTGACGCTGTGCTCATTCATCACAGTGAGATTGCCGTCGATGACGCGGATCTGCCCCCAGAACCGCGACCCGGCGCGCAAAAGTGGATATGGATGAACTATGAGTCTCCCTCGAACACTTACAAGCTGTGGCACTTCGAGGGGATGTTCAATCTCACGATGAGCTACCGGATGGACTCGGACATCTTTCTGCCTTACGGATACCTAGTCCCCCAGGCGCGCGCAAACGCGCTCTCCAAATCGTCCCGCTCCACGCGCCCCCGTGACCAGTTCATAGCCTGGGTCATCAGCAACTGGTCTGCGGCGCACGCGCGGGTCACCTTTTATCACAAACTTCGTAGGTTTGTCCGGATCGACGTATTCGGTGGAGCAGGTCATCCATTACCGAGGGGAAACGGGACGGTGGTGCGGCTCCTCAAGGGGTACATGTTCTACCTGGCGCTGGAGAACTCGCAGCACACCGACTACATCACGGAGAAGCTGTGGAACGCGCTGATGGCCGGGGCTGTACCGGTGGTGCTGGGTCCATCCAGGCGGAACTATGAGCGCTTCCTGCCCCCCGAGGCGTTCATCCACGTGGATGACTTTCCCACAGTGAAGAAGCTGGCCCAGTACCTGCTGAAGCTGTGGCGCGACCCGATCAGGATGAGGCAGCACCTGGACTGGAGAGGGGGCTACAGCCTGCACCAACCCAAGTTCTGGGACGAACACTACTGCACGGCCTGCAGTGCGGTGAGGAGGACCAGAGGACAGAGGGATGCGGTCAAACACCTGGCCAGGTGGTTTTTCTCATAAAGCTCCCTCATGATGAAGGAACAACATAATTGCTGCTTTCGGGTTATAGGTTAAGCTCACGGACTCTAAAAGGCACTTTATTATTCTTTTTATTAAAGATTATAGTTTTTCAATAATCTATTCCTGATATGTATTAATATCCTCACCTGAGTGGTCTTACGTTCAGCCGTATACGGTCTATGCGTTCAGCATACATTTGCCTAAAGTTCTTAATTTAACTCACAAATGAGCACGTTATATTTCCTGCAATGTTCATGTATTCGTCTAAATAAAGTTGCCAGTTATATAATTAATGCACTTTGCAGGTTCTGCATGTATATTTGTCTGCAGTGTTCTTAGGGATGATCTGTGAAGAATAAAACACACCAGATTCTGTGAAAGCACAAGAAACCTTGTCCAGATGTGCACAAATGAGGTGGTATAGCAATAAATCTGTTAATCCTCTGAGACTCATCTATTGTTATCTTAATACTGGGTCCATGTAGGCCACATGTGCCTGAAATAGCACTCTGAGTGCTGTATAGTCTCACTGACCCCGCCTTGGACTCTGAAGATTTTCAAAGGTCATTCTGATTTCTAACAGTTAAGATTTATGTCTCCATATGACCGGATACTGCAGAGGTCAAGTGTAGATGAAAAACTGACCATTTCTGGATGCTACAAGTGACAAAGGTTGTTAGTGGATTATTTAAAATTACACTTCACTGTTGGTGTCCTGTCTCTGAATCAATGTGTCTCATGAGACAATTCTCGCAGGCACAGAATAAAGTTAAATGAGAAAAATATTAAACAGAATCAAAGGCCCTCTTGGTGTTGGATGTTTTTCCGATGCTCAAGCGAGCCTCCTCTCTCAGTAGCTGTAGTGCTCCTGAGAGGTGGCCCTTGCCCCCACTAGCCACCCCAGGGCCCCCACCCCAAGGACGACCACCTCCCCACTCCCTTAATAAATCTCATTTATGTTTAATAAATTAATCATTAATGAAATCTTATTTTATCACTGATGCTCACCGTTTAAAAGAAAGGATAAATCAACAGTTTATGTGGACGTTTTGTTAAAACAGCATTAGGAAAATTAAAAAGTTTTAAAATATTAAACCATTAAGTTTGAAACAATAACTAAAAAGACAAACACAAATTTTGTGGGTTTTTTTCCCTGAAATGTTTGTGTTTCTCTAATCTGAGGTAGACGTGTTTGATGCAAAGGTCTTTTTTTTAATGAATAATAATGAAGGAGCATTGCACAGGATCAATTTGGTGGGCCACCTCAAAATTTTTACAGGCCCCTCCAATGAAAATTTCTGGGGGCGCCACTGCTCAGCAGATGTTTCTAGATCAGGGGTGGGAAATCCTGGTCCTCGAGAGCCGCTATCCAGCAGGTTTTAGTTGTTTACCTGCCCCAACACACCTGATTCCTGGATGAATCATCTGTTCAGCAGCTCATCAGGCTCTGCAGCAGCCTGTTAATCACTAGTAAATTCAAACCAGGTGTGTTTAAGCAGAAAAACAAGTAAAACCTGCTGGACAGCGGCCCTCGAGGACTGGGATTGCCCACCCCTGTTCTAGATAGAGAATCTCTTTCAGGAGAGTTCAGAAGGATTTGCAAACAGAAACCTGCTTCTTCGTGTTGTGTGGAGCCGCACTTCCCCCCACTGGTAACACACACCCTCTACAGTCTGGCACAGTAAAAACACTTAACAGGATCTGAGCTACTTAAGGGAGTTTGACACATTTTTAGGAGCAATATGCTCATATTTTGCTGTGTTGTTCCTTCCACACGTGCACGATCCTTACATGTACCTTGTGGTAAAGGTGAGTAATCAGGCTTTCCAGTGCCATAAAATACAACATCAGTCATTAAAAGTGAAATGACATTTTCAAACCATTTTAGAAGTATATTTTAATGCACCGGTTGGAAACATTTCATCATTAGAAAATGTTATTGCAAAATCAGAATCTGATTAAAAGAGCTTTCAGTCTGAATGTTACAACTGTATGTTAGTTATTTACGTTTGAATTCATTACAATTTGCAGTAATAAATGAAAAAAGTGTAATTTTATCTGATTTTCTCTAATATTAAGAGTTTAATCATAATTTTAAACCTGATTTTTCTAAATCAAGTTCTCAAGTTTGAAGTTCAAGGTCAGTGCTGCTGGTGGAAAAACGAGTTTCAGCACAAAAGCAACAAAAAAAAAGTTATAATAATAATGAACAACTCCCACATTCTCCAAGTGTGTGCACAGTAATAATTTACTTCATTTCACCATCAGTGACACGTTCAGTATGACCAGTCCAGTGAGCAGCTGTGTCTGTGCAAACACACACATGTGAGCTGCAGCTTCATTTGTTTTTTATCAAAATTTGACCCTGAGCAGACGATTCCCAACGCCTCCAAGGGCTTTGACCCAGAAAGATCAGGAGGGAGGTATATAAGCCTTTCACGGGAGTTTATCACACAAATAACTTAAATTTTACAAATAAAGAGCAAAAACATAAATCTTTACAATTAAAGATGTAGATAATGTAAAGTTTAGTCAGTGAAATACAGATTAGAATTAATTCAACAAGCTTCGATGGCAGTAATTCCTCTTTCCTGTTCCTCCCCTGCAGGATGAAATATCACCTGGTGTCACGGGCTGACAAGTTTACAGAGCGGGAGGTGAGTAGTTGCTTGGCAACAAGGTGAAATATTGGATGTATCAATATGAGATCGTGATTCTGGGTTGAGTCGATCCAGGGAGCATTGATGATTACTGGCACTTCTAGGCTGTTTGAATACCAACTTCAGCTTATTACAAAGATCCTTCTCAGCTTCCTGCTAGACCGGTGCCATTCATAACCCCCCTGGCTACAGACACACTAATCTCATTTGTACAGCAACAGATGTTTCTCTTAAAAACATCCGTTAACTACGGAGGGGGAAAGTCTGCCTCTCTCGTCCACTCAGGACATCAAAGAAGCCAGTATAATCATGAATATCAGACGCATTTGTACTGGTTTGACTTACAGTAGGCCATTTCTGTGCTGAAATGTAAACAATCATCTGTTTTGTGTCCCTTTCAGAAATCTTGCACATATTTTACAAGTGCTTTCATGTTTTTGCACATTAAAAAAGCTGTGGAGAAAGAGAAGAAAATGCATATGAAACAACAAACCCCCAGACAAATAAACAGAGCATTGTTCCCATGGCAGCGCGACGCATTAATCTGACGGCTGGTTTCCCATGGCTGTGTCTCCCTGCCCCGTAGACCTCCACTCTGTCTCACTGATGGCTGCTGTGATTGCAATCATCCATCTTACTGTCAAAGACAAAAAAAAAAAAAGAAAATGCAAGAAAGGGGGAAATCACACACACTGTCTCGCTTTTGGTTCCCTTGTGTCCAGCAAACAAGCCACCCTGCTTGTGAGGGGAGCCAACACGAGAACCACAGGCCCTGAGCGTCGTGTGTGTGCCCATGCTTGTATGATTAACAAGGGAGAACAAGAGTGGGTGTGCATCTTTGGTTGGTTGTCTGTGCCTGCACTTTACTGCATGATCAGTCACTGGAGTGTGCGCTGGGTGGGTGGGGTGGGGACCTGTGGACATGTCTGATCCTGCAGCTGATCAAAAGCACCAGAGACTCGTTCCCTTGTGGCCTCGTGAGCAAGTGAGCCCTTCGTATCAACACGTCTCTGTTCAGTAGACAGGAAAAACAAGAGGAGAAACAGGCAGAACAGGGGGTGGGGGGACAGGGGTCGGGGGTGACATGACAAGAGAGACAGAAACAGGCAGACAGCAGAGATGAAAGAATCCATAAAGAGGGCAGAGAGGAGTGTGACAATGATTCATAACCACACTTATGTGTGTTCTGATGAGCGAACTGAGAGGCAGCTCCGTATTTATAGACATCGACTCAGCTGTGATCCCTCTCTGCTAAATCTGACAGCTCTTCATAGGTGCGGATTAAAAATAACACGAAGATTCTCACAGGTGGATCTGGCGTTCCTCTGGGATGCCTGGAAACGACAAGAACCTGTTTTAGTGGACAAAGAGAGGGGATGAAGGAGGTGCTACAGCAAACAAGCATGTGGAAGCAACAAAAGCAAACAAACTCACAAAAGAGAGCGGATCTAAAACTTTAGGGAACAACTTGATTTGGAGAAAGATGTGCGCATACATGACATCTATACAGTTCCTATTTGTGCAGGTGTATTTAGCATTCAGGGATTTTCTGTACAGGTATCTTTTTCCGTTTCTCAGATGTTTGATCATCATTATCAAAGAAACAGACAAATCCAATTAAATTCAGCTCAAACTCCCTGAAACGTGCAGTCAAAAATAATTTAGGTATAGCAAAAATCACAAAAGTCTTCATGTTTTGGCTTTTAAATGCTAATAGCTTAACTGAAGGTGTTTGCAGCTTGTTTTTATTTCTTTTAAAGCAGCAAATAAAAGCTGAGAAATAATAGCAATTTATTTTTTCATTTAGATTTCCATGGAGCAACGGCAGTTTTCTTAAAGACCAAGTTCTCTCGTATTTTCAACACATTTGCAGTGGTCTCCAGTATAAGTGAATGCCTTGTGAGTCGATGGCCAGATCCCAATACTTGCACTGCACCCTACGCCCTTCTGTGAAGTTCACTTAGAGGAGGTGTGCAGTAAGGCTTCAAGTGCGTAGTACACAAGTGTGCTCAGTTGGGAGGGTGCATTGTGTCGTCGACCGCGATGAATGCTGGGATGCCGGTCGTTATTTGTACATTTAAAAAATCTTTATTAACAACTTTCAAACAAACAATTGACTAAATTTACATTGCCGTCCTCATTAAATCTTAGTCTAAAAAAGCTCTTGTGCTCCTTTTTCAGGAAGCAGAAGCAAGCCAGAGGTGTTGGAAGCTAAAGGCTGTAGGATTTGGAGTCTTTCCTGATAAATCTTGCTTCTGATTGGCTAACAACAGTGCAACTCTACCACTGTCTGTTTTATCTTCACAAATATTACAAGCCTGGAGAAGTTCTGCCGTGTGGTGGAGTTGCTAACGGTTAGCCTTTACTAGCCGTGAATCAGCAGCCTTCCCCTACTGCTGGTCAAGATGGCTAATGCAGGACAATTAGTGAAGAAGACTATTAGCACTTTTAGCCTGCAAAAAAAAAAAAAAAAGAAATAAGTAGTTATTCAGTAAACTTGGTCTTTAAATTATTAGACTTGAATATCAAAATGATTTAACAACTGATCAAACTGCATTAACATCTTTGGCAGAAAAATGAAAGCTAAATAATTTTAACTCATTCACTGCCAATGACGACTAAAGTCGTCATTTGCATTTTTTCACTGTGTGGGCATTGGAACAAGCCCCCGCAATGTGAGAACAAACATCCCAGCTCTAAAGCCGATCTTCATCCGCGTACGTCACACGTCACGTGATCAGGAAGCAGAAAATCCATGTGTTAGGAGATCGTTTTGGGCCACTGCTGTAAAAAAAATAGTGAGGGCAAACCGGAAAAGCTTCTGCCGATCACAATTCAACAAGGGATTATGAAAGAGAAAATAAAGCTGATGTAAGAGGTGAGTCTCCGCTTTGTTTTGGTTGTTTTGGCGTCGACATCATCCTAGCGCGCAACGTTCTGTGACTCTTAAAAAAACAGTAAAAACGGTGAGAAACGCTGGCAGCGAATGGCTTTACTGATCAGGAAACGGCTGGCAGCGAATGAGTTAAAGAGGGACTGTACACCATCAGAAAACGTAACTCCACCCCTAGTCAAGATTTGAAAAATGCTATGAAAGTGGCCAACTGTGGGGAATTTCCATCCTGGGAGGGAGGGGGAGGAAACTGTACTGATGATGTGAAATTGTACCAGCTCCAGTCAACCACAAATTTAAATTGTAGTAGCCACAGTCCAACCCACAGGGGGCAGCACCAAGATGCTTTTAGACCTAGACTCTAGATTTAATCAAGATGCACAAACATGTCAAAAGTGCACATAAACTGAAAGATTGCAATTGTAAAGACCCAGTTATACATTTTATTAGCAAAAAAAAGATTATTTTGGGGTTAAGTTACTCTTTAAGTGCACAGTAAGTTCTACCAGATGTGTTATTCTGTACAGTGAAGTTCATATATTTATTTAAAACTCTTGAAAAACCTGTCTCAACACTAATGTAAACATCTTTTAAACTAATCAGAATGTTACATGTTTGCAGTGTTGTCCCCCCCCCCCCCCCCCCCCCCTTAGCATTAGCGAGCTGTTTTGTTTAGCACACACATGGGAGCGCCATTGATCTTTGCTGCAGTCTCCTCCAAAATGCCTGTAACATGTGCAGCTTGTAAAGGAGAAAACAAAAACTGTAACATACAAGATTTATTCAGAAACAAACCGCTGGGTCTCTCAGAGACGTGTACAGTAATCAGATCTGTTTAGACAGAAATCTCAGAGGCTGTTTGCAAACAAATCAACGTAATCCTGTCAGCTTCTAGGTGCGTCGGGGCTGTGCCAAGTTAAGGCTGAAATTCAACTCCTTAGGCAACTTTTCATTCAGTTCTCCAGATGTGCTGTCTTTCCAGATGCTTTTGATTTCACTTAACTTTATTTTAGGCAGGTATTCTGGGAGAAGCGAAAAGAAGAGAAAATCAAAAACTACACTGGACAGAAACACAAGAAGAGCCTGGAGGTTAACTACAACGCGTTCTGTCCAACTTTCAGGAACTTTGCAACCTAGCCAAGAAAAAACTGATTCATTTGCTCATCTGACAGATGAGAGACGCCAAAACCTCCATCATTCTTTATGAGAAATGTGAGATATGAGATCATTCTCTGTGCAACAAGTTGTAAGTGATTGTACAGTTGTGTAGCAGCACAGGATGATAAAGATTAAGAAATCCTTTAATGTGGAAGAGATGCTCAACATCTCAACAGCACTGGTTTGTGTCAAAGTAAACAAACATCAAATAAAGGTACAAGGATCAAATACGTCAGTGTCCAGTTGTGTGCGAGTTACGATCTTCTTCAAACTGATACACACACAAAAAAGACACCACAACATTAAAGTGGGACCCGTCTTTGTCTCTGGTTTAGCAGCGGGTTCTGAGGGAGGGTTTGGACGGGCTGACGGCGCTTCGTCTTCAGGCCAGGAAACAACAACGGGTCAGAGATGCTGCCAAATCCTGAGCCCTCAGAGTTCTCTGTGTAAAGAGCATCAAAAACCTGAATCAGAAACATGGCCTCTGCTGAAGAAAAACCTACCGTCACATATGAAGTCAGATCCATCAGAATGAAGCCATCCTGGTTCTGAGGTTATTGTTTTAACTTGTTGATGAGTACAACTAACAGCACAGCATCATGGTTTTGTTATCTTATTGAGTTTCAAACAAACAAACAAAAAGAGGAAAATGTCGAGTGAATTTGATCATTTTTGATCATCGTCCATCTTCCAATTCGTTAATGTGCTGTTTGTGCATTTTCCTCCCGCTGTTTGCCTCTCCTCACCATGAATGCCCATCATGTGCTCCAGGATCAGAACCCTCTCTGCCAGGATCTTTAGGGCCTCCCTGAGCTGCTGCACGGCTTCACCCTGAACAACACCGTCCTCTTCATTAAGGATCATTCTTTAAAAATGAAGAATAGAAACCTGTAACGTCTCCTACCTCGGTCAAACCCACTCCTGGCTCTCCTTTAGGTCCCGGTGCTCCCTGTAAGTGAAATAATCTGGTTGTGTGAATGCTGTGTCAGTATTCTGCTACACATTCGTGCACCTTCTACTTACAGGTAAGCCCTGCTCGCCTGCTCCACCTGTAGGCCCCTAGAAGCACCGAGGAAAAACTCAGGATGATTTGAAAAGCTTTAATTCATTGTCCCTCTGGCTAATCTGCCTCTGCACCTGATCTCCAGTCTTAAATTATACTGATAAAAAAGGGATCGTGTTTAAAGTCAGAGGAGACCTGAGCAAAGACATGGCTGTCCTGATTAGAGAGGCCTGGTCTTGGATGAGAGAAATGTGGATTAGTCACGCTGAGACTTTGAAGAAAAGCTCATTCACCTTTAAAGTGTTTCAGATTTCAGGAGGAACATTTAGAACCCTAAAATATTCTGATAAAAACAAACTGTCGTTACATGTCAGCAAAACAAAGTTTATGTTATTTGGAAATAAAAGAAGTAATAAAGAAATCTATTTGACTGTTAATGAAATAGCCATTGAAAGAGTGTATGAAATTAAGTTTTTGGGGATATTGATTGATCATAAGCTCTGTTGGAAGCCATACATACAATATGTGTGTTCTAAATTAGCCAGAAGCATTGGGATAATAAATAAAACAAGATATTCTCTACCACAGAAAGCACTACACACACTTTATTGTACTATGATTCTACCATACTTATCATATTGTGTCGAAGTATGGGGCAATACTTATAAATCTAATTTATTAAAGATTTGTGTTCTCCAAAAAAGAGTGGTAAGGATAATTATAAATTCTGGATATAGAGATCATACAACTCCATTATTCTATAATTCCAGATTACTCAAATTTTTTGACTTAATTCAATTTAAAACTGTCCTTGTACCGTATAGGGCCATGATGGGTGTACTGCCGTGTAATTTGCAAAGGATGTTTAAAACTCATGAAGAGGGTTATGAATTGAGAGGCGTTAAAAACTTCATTTTTCCATTATACCGAACAACTATGAAAAGTATGTGTGTATCTGTATGTGGTATCAAACTGTGGAACAAACTTGATGTGACTTTAAAATTATGTAAAAACATTAGATCATTTAAAATGTTGTATAAACAACTTATAATTGACTCATACATAAATAGCAAGTGATAAAAATGGTAATTGGCTTCAAATGGAATATTTTGTTTTTGTTGTTTATTGGTTTTGTTTTCTTTTTCTGTAGATTCATGTGAACAATTGTTTTGTAACTGTCTTTTTATGTAGCAACTAGCAAGGTGAAGATAGAACGACCTGCATAAAGAAAAGTTTTTTTTCTTTCAAATTTGTTAATGTGAGCAAATGTGATTTATTAACTGAATTGGGGCTGGACTAGATAAGCTTTTGCTTCTTCCAGTTCCCTCTCAAATGGTTTTATGTTATTGTATGTTTTGTATTGTTTCATTCAACAGCATATGTTTATCGTATTCCTCATTTAAAAAAAAAAAAAATTTTTGTATGCACCAGGAATATGGGGGAGTGCATATGCAATTTCATGTTTTCGATGGTTTGAGATAAATAAATAAATAAATAAAATATATATAATAATAAAATAAAAGATAAACGTGCTCATCCAGCCTGATAATCCAATAACAAGCAGAACTTTACCTTTTCCCCTGGATCTCCTTTAAGACCAGGACTGCCCGGGAGGCCCTCTCTGCCCTGGAGTCAGACAAGCACAGGTGTGTGTGTGTGTGTGATGCCAGTCACACAACGATGTGGGAATGATTACAGTAACAGAGACTCACATCCTGTCCTGGCAGACCCGGTGTCCCTGCAGGTCCTCTTGCTCCGGGGGCGCCTGCAGAGTCATTCATGAACCAAAACACACAGAAAAAAACAACAACAAAAACACACATTTATGTTCAGATTTAGGACCAAAACACAGATAAGCCCAGAAATAATCAACATCAAGACTCCTCCTTCTGCCCGTCTCACTAGCATGGGGAGCAGAGCTTTCAGCCGCTCTGCTCCCCGTCTCTGGAACTCACTCCCCCCAGACATCAGAAATATTGACAGCTTCACCCTCTTCAAATCCAGACTCAAGACACACCTGCTCAAATCTGCCTATGACCTCTGATTTTATTTGAATTGTTTTTTTCTACGTTCTTTTCTTCATTGTGTTTTATTGTTGTTTTAATGTATTTTACTGAATGTATTTTTCCTGTCAAATGACCTTGGGTGTCCTGAAAGGCACTTTTAAATAAAATGTATTATTATTATTAAGACCATCTTATACCAGGAGGATTTGTTCAGGGTTTAATAATGAGTACATTATCTACTAAACAATCATCTTTTATTAGATATTTAATATCTTTGTATAAAATATTTATTAAATATTGAATCTTTTAATATTTTGGGTTGTCTCACTAAAACATTGGTGAAGGTTTAATCTAAAAATTTACTTTCAGCTGCAGATTTGCAGCAAATAGTTTTGTTCTTTTTCCACATTCTGGGGTCAAATGTTTGTTTAGTGAAAATAAATCCTGCAATCTCTCACAACATGTGCATGAGATAATGCAGCATGTCATAAAACACATTTACTGTATGCTTCATTTTTGACTTTGTCCACGCGGTGCTGTTTTCTTCCAGCTTTGACAGAAAGCAGCTCGTGCTCTTACCCGACGGACCAGCGGGACCGGGGGGACCAGCTCTCATCTGAGGAGCAGGAAGAACTTGACGGATCAGGTCCTCTGGGCAAAGCACAACGTCACAGACATTATTGCAACTTTCAAGAATATAAATAATGTTTCATAGCTGTAAACATTTTTATGATGCACAGAGAAACAAATATTTTTATAGTTGATTATGTTGAAAATTCTTATTGTACATCTTTGGAGTCAAATGATTACACTCAAGTGAAATTTTATTCCATTTCCTGATTGGATTACACAAAATTGGAGTAGCTGCAGACGTAGCCCCGGCCAAACACGCCCCTATGTACGAAACGCGTGCATGTACGAAGACGAGAACTTGCATGCATGTTGCAAGAGATGGAAATGACGGTTCAGGTAAAGACAGATTTATATTTTTACAACTTGCGAAGATTTTGTACTAGAAATTTGAACGTTTAAGACATAGTTTAATAGATAGCGCATTCGTAATTTTTTTCTGAAACACTTTTATATAAAATTAAGCATTATTGGCAGTGGGGGAAGACGTTATGGACGCACATTTTTTTAATATAATTTTTAATGGGCTACAGTACATGCAAGCCTTTTGGCCAAAATAAACGTAACAATAGGCTATTTATTTGACCGTTTATGACTCCTCATCTAAAAAACAGCAAACTCACGACGGCAATGTGGTAGCCCGGAGGTATTCTACAAACACAAGAACAGTGCTAATGCCTATATGTATTGTTTTCACATTGTTTATGACAGCCTCTAGGTGTAAATGTCATTTTTACTAATTGCTATTTATCTTTGTCTCATTAGTGAGAGGCAGCTGATGTCCTATGCCATGGAGCTGCTCATATACTCGGAGAAATTCAGAAAAGCTCTGGACTCATCTGAATTTTTGAAGAGGCTGTAGCATTGTGTGGACATTTATTATTATTATTATTATTTTGGAAGGTATTTGTAAGGCCAATAAAAGCTGTTGCTGGGCATTTCATTTGTCAGAACTTTTTTTTCTAAAGCCAAATTTTTCTGCTTTTGTGTTTACAGTATATTCTTTACAGATTAGTGTATGGTCAATATCAGTTTACTAGTCTTGTGAATCGTATACTTAATGCAAAATATTTTAGTAATTTCTAAATCAATACATTTTGTGTCAAAGGGCCAGCATTTATTCCTGTTAACATGCATATATGCACATGTAAATATGCCTAAAAATTACACATCAGCAGCTTCTCACTGTAAAGAAGCAATAAAAAATCATAACTAGTAACATAAATATTAACTACTCACTTGTATGAACTTAGACCCACTGTTAGTGCCTGTAATAACAAATGGTTGAAAGTTAACTGTTGCTGTAGGAGGCATGCTCCCAAATATGGAGGCCAATGGGCTTAAGGGGTTAATTAAAACGATTACCACTAATTACTTTTTCTGATATTTTATTTTATTGCATTTAAAATAAACACTTGCACATACATTACTCACCTGCTAACTTCAGTAAGCATAGGTATGTTGTGCCTATTGTCCGGCAACTGATTATTTGTTGGTGGTATCTGTGTTTTATAATCTCACTGGGGATGGCCATGAAGTGTGTATGCAAGAGACAAAAATAATCTCACTGGGGATGGCCAAAAAAATCCATACATTCATATTTAAACCTGGAGTCCTGTCTGTTTAATTACATTATTACTATTTCTTTATTTATTTTCTTTCAATTGTGTTGTTCGCTGGGAGGGCCGCCGTTATTGAGCTCGGGGGTAGCTCAACAGGGGGGGGCGTGTTTTGTCGGGGGGGGGGGGGGGGGGGGTACGTCTGCAGCTAGGTATTATTGCAAAATTGAACAAAAAGATTGTCACAGTGCGAGCAGAGGATTGGACCCAAAATGCAGAACACAACAGCTCGAGGCAGGAGAGGTCGTTTAAATAAAAAAAAATCCTTTAATTAGGATGGGAACTGAAATAAAGACTATAGGACACGAGGTCAAAAATCTAAAGTTCTGTAGACAAAACAAAAGCTCTCACATGAGCCAGGATCTATTGTAACTAGAGGGGGACAAAAACAACGCTGCCAAAAGACAATGGACCGACAAACACAGGGGGACAAGACAGGGTTTTTAAACACAGAGGGGGGTAATCGGGAACAGGTGACAAGTGTGAGGAGTGAGATCTGGAGGGAAGACAGGTGCCATCAATAACCTAAATAGGGGGAAAGAACTAAGCAGAAGGGACGATAAACATTAACCTATAAAACACTGAATAACTAAACCTAAAGACTAAGGGCAAATATAAACAACTAATAACTAGAGGAGGACTAATACAAAATCAAATAGGAACTACCAGGGAGTGACTAGAGGGAAACATGAGGGAAAACTAGATAGAGCTGGGGATCACAATGAGACACAAGGGGAGAACCTGGAGTGAGCACAGGAGGGGGCTGGGGACCAGAGGGACACAGAACATGACAAAAATCTTTCATTAATTAGTAAGCATACATAGTTTGAGGTGACTCACAGAATATCACTAAACTGATAGGAATAGTAATAAAACATCCACAACTAGTAACATGTCACAAAAACATCTACGCTGAATTATTCAGGCTTATTCAATCAAAAGGCTCTTTATAATAATGATAATAAATAATGACAACCTAAATGTTCAGATTTTATCTATGACATTGACATTTTCTACCTCAGATGTGTGACGTCTAAAGTCCTTTGGGGTTGATTTATTCTTTTTTTATTACTTCACAGTTTATCAGATAAATTTGACAAAAAGCGCTAAATGACAACTTGTTTTGCAGCACTAAACATGCATGTGCTAACTGACTATAATTTGGGCGATAATAACATTTATTTGTCTCAGAAACACCTTACTGGATGTTCATCTACGTCTGGTGAACTTTTGGAGTCAACTTAACTCAAAATGGTCACCAAAAATGATCTCAGAAAACACAAATGTAGCTGTAACGGCGATGTTCTGAGCTAAAATGTGTTAGTGGCTGAGAGACGTTTCTAATGCGTAACCTGATGACACACACATGGACTTTCATTTATTGTTCTCTTTTGATCCACATCATATTTGGAGGTTTTCCTACAATAGAATGTGATCAAACTGATACAAACGGCCAACACAAAGAGTGTTGTCATGGTTTTGGTGAGGCTTATTTAATTAACTGAGTTTAATCTCTCAAGAGCAAAATAAAGACTCACTGGCCCCCTCACCTGCTGAGGTCTCCTTCAGGTTGTCATGGTTGCACGTAAACTAAAGCGAGAAACAAGTGCATCTGTGACCACGATCTGTAAGTGATCTCCACTGTGCATTAAGTTGTGAAGTCTTGAGCTGCAGTAAGAAATAAAAACCATAATGGAAACATTTCTGCTCCAACAGCCCACAGGTCTGTTTAACGTTACAGACTAGCTCAATTAGCCGCAAGGCTCGATTCTGCTGCTTTCAATTCAGAGCTGAGGATAAAAATCCGTCTTTAAACTCTTTATTTTGATCTCAAACACTTGTTGGCATAAAGTCTGAGACAACCAGAGACTCGGGCGGCTTAAACCTATGCAGATGCACGATGGTTGGACTGAATCCAGGGTGACGCGGACCAACTAGATCAGCTGTTGTGTCTGAAAATTAAAGTGCTCCAGTGTTGGAATTCTGTCTTGTTCTCAGCATGCAGGATATTTCTGAGCACATTTATAAATTCAATCTGAAACCACCTCACACTTCCTTGACATATGCTCGGAGTTAGACCCCCCTCGTGTTGAGACAGCGCTGTTACATTATGGCTGCCGTCCACAGGAAAAAAGGGCTCTAGAAGGAGCAGATTTCCCTCTGGAACTAATTTTCTAATGCTGCAGCCTCCTCAAGCCTGGCTGCCTCCCCCAGAAACTCCACATGAGTGGCAGACTATCTCCTCCTCTGTTCAAAGCCAGCTCTGCTCTTGGCTTAAGGCCTTGGCCAGTCTCCCCTCCCATGCAGAAAAACGCAGATTGTTGTGCTGACAGCTAACAAATTAGGTCTGATTTACAGCCAGTTGGCCCCCCTACGCTTACATGGTCCCACAGACCCAGATCTACACAGCTCCAGAGCCGCAGAAACAGTCCCAGGCTCAGAAAACCAGATGCTGCCAAAAGCCTAATCGGAGCCAGCAGGCCTGAGGTAATGATGGACCTCTACTGCCTCCCTGTGTTCACGAGCAGGCACTGAGTGTGATAAAAGACATTTATGGAGATGTTACAGATGGTGAAAAGGCTGTGATTTAATTTTAGCATGCAAATTAAAACATCTACATCATAAATCTCACAGTAAAAGACATTTTCCCTTTGATTCTGCCTTTTTGAAGCTCCCACACCTCATCTAGTGATTTACACAACATCCTTTGTTGGTGGTGGTGTTTAATGAGGTTCATTGTGGCTCAGCAGCAACAGAACACACTGGAACAATTACAGAACATCTATGCCAGTGATGCTCGGGGGAAAAATCTACATGACTATAAAGTTTTTAATGCAAGCTAGAAGGAGTTTCTGCACCTGTCATTCTCCTCACTGATTCCTGTCATGGTGACAAGCATCAGGGAGGAGCAGAGAGATGGATCTGGGGTGTTTCTGCATCAGAATCTGACTCTGCATCTGAAACAGCTTACCCTGACCATCCATGTGGAAAACGTCACCTCGCGTTTGGATCGGAGCAGAGTTCGGTCCTGATGGACCAGGTGGACCAGGAGGGCCAGTTTCTCCTGGTTCACCTCTGTCACCTTTTGGCCCTGAGTGAAAATCGTTTAAAAAAGTAAATAAATGAAAGCATCTGATACAAGTGATTTTTGGACTTGATGATTGTTTTTTTTTACCAACAGGTCCTGGGAGGCCCGTTGTTCCTGGAGGACCTGGAAGTCCTGGAGGTCCAATGGGTCCTGGAGGACCTCTGGCTCCTTGTACTGCAGAATAAAAGAGCAATTTGTTTATTTCAAATTAGAAGAAGAAGAAGAAATGTATTTATATAGCACTTTTCACAAACACAGGTCACGTAGAAAAAAGATCTCTGAAATACAAAATCCACAAATATTGTTAATCTATAAAATCTAGAAATTCTAATCTAAACTGTACCTTTGGAAAATAATCACCAATTATATCTGTCCTTTATCCTTTATTCATAATTTTTTATTTGGACCCAAGAAAACTTTGTAAGGAAAATGCAGCTACATTTACGGGTAGAAACAGAATGTTTCTGCATCATTTGCGAAAAGCTTTTACTTTGTTTGTTTGCAGATAACTCAGTTTTTATAAAGTTTCAAAAAAGTTCATCCTTCTTTGTTTAGCTCATGTGATATCTGTCCAAATAAAGTTAGCTGATTTTGATCAAAATGGCGTTCATCTGTCTAACCTGGTGGCAGGTACGGCGGTGGAGTGGGTCGAGGTGAGTCCACCTCATTTTCTGCGGATCCCTTTGGAATTGTGCTGCCTCCCGGACTGGTCGAGCGGGCCTCCTCTAACAGTCTGATCTGAGACGGGAGCAGCAGATGTCAGACACGTCTGTCAGACATAAAGACATCCATAAAGACGTCTAGTGTCCTCACCTTTGACTCGATTGCGTTTATCCTGCTGTTCATGTCGTTGAAACTGGTGCAGTTAAGACATTCTGGAACAAAGATGCACCAACAGAGAACATTCAGTTAGCTGTGTTTCAGGTTTTATTTTTTTCCCCACCATTATTTGTTTTATTTTTTCATCCTGACAACATCAGCTGATGTCTCCATTAAGAAGCCAAGCATCACACAAACTATAAAAACTGGAGGTCAGAGTTTATGAGGAATTCCTCCTTAAATCTTGTCAAAAATATTCTTAGATTTCTCATAAAAGCTGTCCTCGGCAGCACAGATGGTCGGAGGTTTCTCTATTTTCATGTCCATATAAAATTTTTTTATTCTAGCTAAAATAAGAGAAACTACGGAAGCATAGCGGTGCCACCCAAAATAAAATTAGAGTAATATCACATGGTAACGTTATTGTTTTAAAAATGTAACTTTAACATTTGTACAATATATTATCACTTTCTTATATCACATTCGTACAATATACATATTTATCTAGATTGAACAATATAAAAATTATATTGTACGATCATGATATTTATATTGTAAGAACGTGAAAATGATATTGTTAGAACAATAAAGTTAAGGTGTAATAACGTGATATTGCTCTAATTTTATTTTGGGTGGGTGGCAACTCTACGCTTCCCTACTTATCCAATCCTAAACATGTCACAAACATTTTGCACAGGGCAGGTGTAATTTACAAACAGGTGCCTTCTGCAGAGACCAGTAAGAAAATTAGCCAAAGACTGCCGCACATTCATGATAGTGTTCTGCAGGACTGACCACATGTTTGTGCACACGGTGCAAGGCTTATGAGAATTATTGAAAATGGGAGATAAGATGTGAATTTTGGATTTGAATATTTTGACTGATGAATTTGACTGAAGGTTCTAGATCTTTTTTCCCCTCCTTCTAACAACTGCAAAATATTTTTGTGCTTTTTTATTGATCTTGTTCACCGCAATCTTTTTTATTTTAATCTTCTATGAGTTTGGATTTCCAGCTTTCAAAACACATGACGAAACCACACACACACACACACACACACACACACACACACACACACACACACACACACACACACACACACACACACACACACACACATACTCTATCTCTACAGCAGTTCCATCCTTGAGCTGTAACCCAAGAGCTTTATTATAACTTCTTCACAGAAAAACCTCACATTTCCTCTAAATCTAACCATCCTCCGGCTCACAGGAAGTGAGGAATGTCAGCTGTCAGTCCCACAGATGGGACCCACCCACACTGTGGTCATAGCAAGGATGCCCAGATCAACCAACAAATGGCGCTCATAAATAACTAAAGAAACAACGAAAATGACCCTAACAGCTCCGGTCTGTCTCAGAGCACCATAATCAGTCCCGTCCTGAGGTTTCTGTCCCACTCAAATGGGACGTGGGATGTTTTTGTGCCACATTTGAGTGTCCACACCATCACGAATGTGAAGTCTAATGTGGATGTATTTTCTCCATACTTTGTTTCAACATCTCATCCTGGAGCGCAGCCACAGACAACCATCATAAGTTCAATCTAAAACACATTTTTATGGATTCATCAAACCAAAAGGCTGAAATGACCCCACATGAGGGGCTTGTTGTGGCTGAGAACCCTGAGGTTTCCTTTGTGACAGAGAGAGGACGATAAAGATTAGCCGGACCGCGGGCGATCCTGCGCTCCACAGTGTGACAGCTGAAGTGATGATTTACTTCTATCTCCTCCACATCTATTTATCATCAGCCCAGAGGAAGTCTCCACCCTCTGACACTCTGTCTGTAACACAGCACATAAATCTGAGAGGCATTCCAGCAGTGATGATGTGTTGATGTTCAAACTTTAGCCAAACTAGCGGTGCACTAGAGTCGGTAAAACGCTGATAGGACCAGCCTGAGAACTGCTGCAAAGCAGACCAATATTCATGCTTCCCGGATGATAAAGACTTTGGTTTTTAACTTTTTTTTTTCTCCTTTCTCACAAGCATCAGGATGAAATTTTGTGGAACTGAGTAAAACTCATTAACAGCTGCTGGCCGTGAAATTCTTTACATTTGTGTTCACGTCTGTAACAACTGTGCAGTCATTATTCTATCAAAACGTCATGTGGTCACAAGCTTTTTCTCTAATTACTTTAAATCGACACCCTGTTTGTTTTACTGGCCTTCATGTTTGCCAGCTTTTATTCAGATTTCAGTCTCTTTTAGGCCAGATGCTCCAAAACTCACTGTTATCTAATCGGGTTACATGAGCGAGTGGAGGACTCAGTGTTGCTGCCTTATTGATGTGGAAAATCTCAGATAGCCGAGTCAAATATGGGATTAAAGTAAGAATGAATAACTATTTTAGGCTATGAAGTAATGTGACAAGTAAAATTAGCCAGAACAGAGCAAGGAATTTCTCTTAACCAACAATGAATTAACCTATTTGACAGATTAAAAAAAGGAGCCTTTCTGACTTGCAGTGTGGGAAAAATGAGAACCTCCTGAAATAAATCCTATAATGACAAAATAATTTCTTCAGTCTTTATTCGTATCAATCAGGTTGATTCATTAACCAACAAAAATTCAATAATTAAATGAGGAATAAGAAAATATTAGCCTAAAAAGTTTCTAATGAAGAAAAAAAGAATAAATCAAATTTAACTGAAACACTAAAATGGATTACCTGGATATAAAATGCCAAATCAAAAGTGGTCAAACTGGTCATTATATACAGAAAAGACACAGGCTAGTTTTGAGTTCCACTCGCATGATGGTGGACATGCTGTGTCTAATCCATTTATGTCTCTAGTCAGAAACTCTATGTGTTCTTTTGCCAATGTGTTGATGAAGACTGAGTAAAAGATCAAATTATTTTTGTTTTTGCTTTTTTTTCAAAAAACATACACATTTATTAGCTTTATTTCATCATTTAATGATTTTAAGCTTACATAAACAAGCTAACGCTAACCATAAAGTAAAACCTAAGCCTACAGCAACCAATGAAGAAGTCACATATCAGTTTGAGATAGTAACATCATTTTAGAGGTTTATACATATAATAGAAAACAGAAATGATTCTATAACACATGTTTACATTGCTAGTCTGTTGCTAATTAGTAATTTTGTTCAGGTTTTTAAAGAAAGATAAAGCTTCTGAGCCTATTAAACAGGAAGTCTTGTAAACATCCACATGTCTGTTAAAGCTTTAAACACCAGTAAACTCCAATTTTGTTTATTTACTCAATAAGACTTTGAAATCCAAATGCAGGCTAACTTTGTTCTAAATTCACAACGATTTCTGGACAAGTACCATTCAGACTTAGCCATTAGCTTCATTCTCCAGTTATGATTAGCTAACTTCACTAATCTATGAATATAAAAATATGGGGTTCTCATTTTGTCTTAACACACACAAGAAAAAGCCCCACCATCACTGATGTGAATCAAAGCAGAAAGCTTTTTTTCTAAAGACGATGGGCAGGATTTTGGTTTCGGATACACTTTAATCTAGTTTGATTAGAAAACCAAACTTGTGATGTGCCTGAGCTGTTTGGAACAATCCCACAACTACAGAGTCTGTTTGGATCCATAATTGCACCATCGCAACATCAGAAAGGGTTATTTTGTTCAGGGCTCATGGGAAAGACTCCCAATCATATTGTTTCTAGTGGGAAACCAAACAAATAGAAAAAAGCAGAGAGGCTTTCTGCTTCAGTGACATAGAAGAATGTGTGTATCTTAGCAGTTTTGCCAGTATTCACAGGCTACAACCTATTTGATTTGACTGAATTCCTTCAAAATGGTGCAGAGGTCAATAATTTCCTTCTTGAAAATACTCGAATTGGATATAATAACAGCACATTTTAATGACATTAAATACCATTAATAAAAATATCAAACTACTGGATGATTGATTCATGGAAACACAATTAGCTTAACTGTTGAATCTGGCAACAAAATCCATGGCATGTGGACTCCTCTGATCCATCATGGAAAAGCGCTTTTCGGAGATAAAGTTTTGTTTAAACATCAAAGAAAACAAAAGAAGGAATTTTTTCTATCTCAGGAAACTGCAAAATATAAAAATAAAACAGATTAACAAGCCATCCATTCAAATAACGTGTGATTTACAAGACAGCACAGGATTCTTGGGAAACATTTAGGTCAGACTCTGGTCTGGTCTGATGCATTTTCTACTTTGAGTTAAATCAAAGAAACCCCGCTCTTTTCTCGGTTTCTTTTTTGCACGCATGCAGACATGTTCACCACCTCAACCACAACACAAACCATGACGCACACAGCTGGGGACGGTCCTTCCTAATACGACATGTTTGTTCTGCCTCTGCTTCGATGCAATGAAACATCCTCTTGGGTCATCTTCTGAGTTGCTGTCACATCGTTAGGATAAACAGGAGGTTGTGTGCCAAGTGTGTGTGTGTGTGTGTGTGTGTGTGTGTGTGTGTGTGTGTGTGTGTGTGTGTGTGTGTGTGTGTGTGTGTGTGTGTGTGTGTGTGTGTGTGTGTGTGTGTGTGTGTGTGTGTGTGTGTGTGTGTGTGTGCAATCCCAGAAAGCCTTATAGAGCTGGCTATGTTCCAAAAGCCTGTTGTGTGTCTGCCTTAGCCAACAAGTGGTCAGCTATTGCTGGCATGAACAGCTGGCACACACACACACACACTCACACACATTTGTCCTGCCACAAACTCACTCGCTAAATCACCTGACCACTCTGACCGCAGCGGCTGGTGGAGGAGGCTGAATGAAGCTTTCTTTTTTTAAAAAAACTATGATAGACAGTGGGAGCATTTAGGATTTTAGCTGTGATGAAAGCTGCCAGACCACACATCATTCTATTAACTGGGACTCTTTATAGCAAGAAAAGAGCATGACAGCATAATAGAGCTGAGCACACTGTAAGGCTGAGTGATCTTCACACAACAGGACTTATTGCAACAATAAAACAACACGCTGAATCGATTCCAGGCTAAGAATACACCCCGTCTTTCTGTAATGCCACCACCATGATCCCTATCATCCATGAGCCATCTA